TGATCACACAATCTTCCAATTTTGCAGTTTCAAAAACTTGCGAATACAACATTTGAAGCCTAACTGATTTTTTGGGATTTCATGTAACGAGTTTTCGTAGTGTAGTGGTTATCACGTTTGCCTCACACGCGAAAGGTCCCCGGTTCGAACCCGGGCGAAAACAAAAATCATTTAGTTTTAATTAACGCCGCATTGGAAAAGAAATTCCAATTTACTTATAATTAACACCACCTTATGAAACGTGTCGTTGAAGACAATAGGTAAATTAGTGTACATTACACCTCTATTCATATATAGTGCTAAGTTATTCTTGGAACATTGATAACGTGGATTAAAATGCAAATAACTTTAATTAACGCCACTGCAGAACTGCAGTTCAAGAGAAGTTAGCTTTATGGGCACGTAGTTTCACATGGTATCGAGCATAGATATAGTTTCAAAATATTTACTGGCTTCATATTGTTTCCGCCTGGGCTCGAACCAGGGACCTTTCGCGTGTTAGGCGAACGTGATAACCACTACACTACGGAAACAAGTTGCTTGCTTTTCTCACATCTTCTCGAAAATACAATTAACAGTATAGTGAATTGATCACACAATCTTCCAATTTTGCAGTTTCAAAAACTTGCGAATACAACATTTGAAGCCTAACTGATTTTTTGCGATTTCATGTAACGAGTTTTCGTAGTGTAGTGGTTATCACGTTCGCCTCACATGCGAAATGCCCCCGGTTCGAACCCGGGCGAAAACAATAATTATTTAGTTTTAATTGACGCCGCAGGAGAAAACAAATTCCAATTTACTTATAATTAACACCACCTTATGAAACGTGTCGTTGAAGAAAATAGGTAAATTAGTGTACATTACACCTCTATTCATATATAGTGCTAAGTTATACTTGGAACATTGATTACGTGGATTAAAATGCCAATAACTTTGATTAACGCCACTGCAGAACTGCAGTTCAAGAGAAGTTAGCTTTATGGGCACGTAGTTTCACATGGTATCCAGCATAGATAACGTTTCAAAATATTTACTGGCTTCATATTGTTTCCGCCTGGGCTCGAACCAGGGAACCTTTCGCGTGTTAGGCGAACGGGATAACCACTACACTACGGAAACAGGCTGCTTGCTTTTCTCACATCTTCTCGAAAATACAATTAACAGTATAGTGAATTGATCACACAATCTTCCAATTTTGCAGTTTCAAAAACTTGCGAATACAACATTTGAAGCCTAACTGATTTTTTGCGACTTCATGTATCGAGTTTTCGTAGTGTAGTGGTTATCACGTTTGCCTCACCCGCGAAAGGCCCCCGGTTCGAACCCGGGCGAAAACAAATATCATTTTGTTTTAATTGACGCCGCAGGAGAAAACAAATTCCAATTTACTTATAATTAACACCACCTTATGAAACGTGTCGTTGAAGACAATAGGTAAATTAGTGTACATTACACCTCTATTCATATATAGTGCTAAGTTATACTTGGAACATTGATAACGTGGATTAAAATGCAAATAACTTTGATTAACGCCACTGCAGAACTGCAGTTCAAGAGAAGTTAGCTTTATGGGCACGTAGTTTCACATGGTATCCAGCATAGATATCGTTTCAAAATATTTACTGGATTCATATTGTTTCCGCCTGGGCTCGAACCAGGGACCTTTCGCGTGTTAGGCGAACGTGATAACCACTACACTACGGAAACAGGCTGCTTGCTTTTCTCACATCTTCTCGAAAATACAATTAACAGTATAGTGAATTGATCACACAATCTTCCAATTTTGCAGTTTCAAAAACTTGCGAATACAACATTTGGAGCCTAACTGATTTTTTGCGATTTCATGTAACGAGTTTTCGTAGTGCAGTGGTTATCACGTTTACCTCACAAGCGAAAAGCCCCCGGTTTGAACCCGGGCGGAAACAAAAATCATTTTGTTTTAATTAACGCCGCATTGGAAAAGAAATTCCAATTTACTTATAATTAACACCACCTTATGAAACGTGTCGTTGAAGACAATAGGTAAATTAGTGTACATTACACCTCTATTCATATATAGTGCTAAGTTATACTTGGAACATTGATAACGTGGATTAAAATGCAAATAACTTTGATTAACGCCACTAAAAAACTGCAGTTTAAGAGAAGTTAGCTTTTATGCACGTAGTTTCAGATGGTATCCAGCATAGATATCGTTTCAAAATATTTACTGGCTTCATATTGTTTCCGCCAGGGACCTTTCGCGTGTTAGGCGAACGTGATAACCACTACGCTACGGAAACAGGCTGCTTACTTTTCTCACATCTTCTCGAAAATACAATTAACAGTATAGTGAATTGATCACACAATCTTCCAATTTTGCAGTTTCAAAAACTTGCGAATACAACATTTAGAGCCTAACTCATTTTTTGCGATTTCATGTAACGAGTTTTCGTAGTGTAGTGGTTATCACGTTCGCCTCACACGCAAAATGCCCCCGGTTCGAACCCGGGCGAAAACAAAAATTATTTAGATTTAATTGACGCCGCAGGAGAAAACAAATTCCAATTTACTTATAATTAACACCACCTTATGAAACGTGTCGTTGAAGACACTAGATAAATTAGTGTACATTACACCTCTATTCATATAGAGTGCTAAGTTATACTTGGAACATTGATAACGTGGATTAAAATGCAAATAACTTTGATTAACGCCACTGCAGAACTGCAGTTCAAGAGAAGTTAGCTTTATGGGCACGTAGTTTCACATGGTATCCAGCATAGATATCGTTTCAAAATATTTACTGGCTTCATATTGTTTCCGCCAGGGACCTTTCGCGTGTTAGCCGAACGAGATAACCACTACACTACGGAAACAGGCTGCTTGCTTTTCTCACATCTTCTCGAAAATACAATTAACAGTATAGTGAATTGATCACACAATCTTCCAATTTTGCAGTTTCAAAAACTTGCGAATACAACATTTGAAGCCTAACTGATTTTTTGGGATTTCATGTAACGAGTTTTCGTAGTGTAGTGGTTATCACGTTTGCCTCACACGCGAAAGGCCCCTCGGTTCGAACCCGGGCGAAAACAAATATCATTTAGTTTTAATTGACGCCGCAGGAGAAAACAAATTCCAATTTACTTATAATTAACACCACCTTATGAAACGTGTCGTTGAAGACAATAGGTAAATTAGTGTGCATTACACCTCTATTCATATATAGTGCTAAGTTATACTTGGAACATTGATAATGTGGATTAAAATGCAAATAACTTTGATTAACGCCACTGCAGAACGGCAGTTCAAGAGAAGTTAGCTTTATGGGCACGTAGTTTCACATGGTATCCAGCATAGATATCGTTTCAAAATATTTACTGGCTTCATATTGTTTCCGCCTGGGCTCGAACCAGGGACCTTTCGCGTGTTAGGCGAACGTGATAACCACTACACTACGAAAACAGGCTGCTTGCTTTTCTCACATCTTCTCGAAAATACAATTAACAGTATAGTGAATTGATCACACAATCTTCCAATTTTGCAGTTTCAAAAACTTGCGAATACAACATTTGAAGCCTAACTGATTTTTTGGGATTTCATGTAACGAGTTTTCGTAGTGTAGAGATCGTTTCAAAATATTTACTGGCTTCATATTGTTTCCGCCAGGGACCTTTTGCGTGTTAGCCGAACGTGATAACCACTACGCTACGGAAACAGGCTGCTTGCTTTTCTCACATCTTCTCGAAAATGCAATTAACAGTATAGTGAATTGATCACACAATCTTCCAATTTGGCAGTTTCAAAAACTTGCGAATACAACATTTGAAGCCTAACTGATTATTTGCGATTTCATGTAACGAGTTTTCGTAGTGTAGTGGTTATCACGTTTGCCTCACACGCAAAAGGCCCCCTTTTCGAACCCGGGCGAAAACAAAAATCATTTAGTTTTAATTGACGCCGCAGGAGAAAACAAATTCCAATTCACTTATAATTAACACCACCTTATGAAACGTGTCGTTGAAGACAATAGGTAAATTAGTGTACATTACACCTCTATTCATATATAGTGCTAAGTTATACTTGGAACATTGATAACGTGGATTAAAATGCAAATAACTTTGATTAACGCCACTGCAGAACTGCAGTTCAAGAGAAGTAAGCTTTATGGGCACGTAGTTTCACATGGTATCCAGCATAGATATCGTTTCAAAATATTTACTGGCTTCATATTGTTTCCCCCAGGGACCTTTCGCGTGTTAGCCGAACGTGATAACCACTACACTACGGAAACAGGCTGCTTGCTTTTCTCACATCTTCTCGAAAATACAATTAACAGTATAGTGAATTGATCACACAATCTTCCAATTTTGCATTTTCAAAAACTTGCGAATACAACATTTGAAGCCTAACTGATTTTTTGCGATTTTATGTAACGAGTTTTCGTAGTGTAGTGGTTATCACGTTTGCCTCACACGCGAAAAGGCCCCCGGTTCGAACCCGGGCGAAAACAAAAATCATTTTGTTTTAATTAACGCCGCATTGGAAAAGAAATTCCAATTTACTTATAATTAACACCACCTTATGAAACGTGTCGTTGAAGACAATAGGTAAATTAGTGCACATTACACCTCTATTCATATATAGTGCTAAGTTATACTTGGAACATTGATAACATGGATTAAAATGCAAATAACTTTGATTAACGCCACTGCAGAACTGCAGTTTAAGAGAAGTTAGCTTTTATGCACGTAGTTTCAGATGGTATCCAGCATAGATATCGTTTCAAAATATTTACTGGCTTCATATTGTTTCCGCCAGGGACCTTTCGCGTGTTAGCCGAACGTGATAACCACTACACTACGGAAACAGGCTGCTTGCTTTTCTCACATCTTCTCGAAAATACAATTAACAGTATAGTGAATTGATCACACAATCTTCCAATTTTGCAGTTTCAAAAACTTGCGAATACAACATTTGAAGCCTAACTGATTTTTTGCGATTTCATGTAACGAGTTTTCGTAGTGTAGTGGTTATCACGTTTGCTTTACACGCGAAAGGCCTCCAGATCGAACCCTGGCGAAAACAAAAATTATTTAGTTTTAATTGACGCCGCAGGAGAAAACAAATTCAATTTACTTATAATTAACACCACCTTATGAAACGTGTCGTTGAAGACACTAGATAAATTAGTGTACATTACACCTCTATTCATATATAGTGCTAAGTTATACATGGAACATTGATAACGTGGATTAAAATGCAAATAACTTTGATTAACGCCACTGCAGAACTGCAGTTCAAGAGAAGTTAGCTTTATGGGCACGTAGTTTCACATGGTATCCAGCATAGATATCGTTTCAAAATATTTACTGGCTTCGTATTGTTTCCGCCTGGGCTCGAACCAGGGACCTTTCGCGTGTTAGGCGAACGTGATAACCACTACACTACGAAAACAGGCTGCTTGCTTTTCTCACATCTTCTCGAAAATACAATTAACAGTATAGTGAATTGATCACACAATCTTCCAATTTTGCAGTTCAAAAACTTGTGA